ATCTACCTAAAAATTGATACAAAACTTCGGCAATTTACCAATCATATGCGTCTATATGATTTACTCCTACTTTTACACACATATAGTTTGTTATAACATCCTTATAGGGGATGCATTGTTGAAGCATTATGTAGGTTGAGTTCCATCTTATAGGCATATCTAACGCTAATGCTCTAGGAGGTATATTTAATGCTTGTAAGAACCTAAACCAATCTTCTTGTCTTTGGTTACTACCTTGAATCCATGCAAGACTATATCTAATTCTTTTAATGTGATTACCCATTTCTTTTAAACCAGATTTAACAATTAAATTAATTACGTGGCATGCACAACGTTGGTGGAAAATTGTACCGTCACCGAATAAACTTAAATCATTTTCAAAGAATTCAATTGCTTTTGTATTGGCACTAGCATTATCTAATGTTATAGCCATTACTTTATCTTTTAATCTAAAATCATCAATTACATTTAAAATGATATTATATATTAAATCCGCACTATGTGATCCTAAAACACATTTAAAACCTAATATTCTCTTATCTAAATCAAATCCTTTAAAGTAATGTCCGGTTACAGCTAAATAATCTTTATTGGCAACGGTAAACTAAATATTTGCCGTTAACGCAACGCACCCGCTAGTCGAGTGTAAAAGATTTATTAATGCTTCTTTTTCTTTTTTAAATAATTTTAATAAATCTTTCCTAAGAGTAGTTTTTGAAGTGAACTGTGCATTAGGATTATGTACAACCTTAATATATCTTTGCCAATTAGGATACTTTACAAAACTAAGTGGTTGATCTAAAGTAGCTATCATTCGTGCAACTTCCATATGATCTACTTGCGGATCGCATTTCTAAGTGGTTAAACCACCGGTTGCGCGATCAAAAGATAATTATGTTTGGCGGAGTTCGGATCTGCCGGATTGGCTAAGCTTTTGAAGACACTTTTCAGAGTGTCTTCTCAGGTGTGTGGTACCGTGAATGTCACATTGTAATTTAGATAAACAATATTTACACTGAGTTGTATGTTTAGTGTTACCTTCATTGTCGATCTCATCAATTATGTCGAAGTGATCCCAAACTGTCGAGGTGCGCTTGCATTTCCTCGTAGAGGTTGTAACACTTATAGACCCAGTTGCACTGGCACTCACCGTCGCCGCTTCTCCACGCCCACCACCATTGCGACCACGACCTCCAGTACGTCCAGCATGGCTTGGATTAATAGATTCCTGCGTAACAAATTCATTAGTGAGAAATTACCCTTCTTCCACGTTGTGTTGGGCATCAACGGGAATACCACTATAACAAAAAAGATCCATTTTAAAAAAATAAGAGCGATTTGAGAGAGAGAGCTTTAGGATAATGTGATAGTTTTTGGAAAAATTGTGATAGAGATTTGAGAGATTGAGAGAGATTGAGAGAAATTGAGAGGGATTGAGAGAGTTTGAGTGAGAAAAATGTGTGGGGGGATGGAGGGTATTTATAGGGAAATTTTTAGGTTAAAAAATTAATTTTTTTTCAAAAAATTCGGGGTGCAACAGCTACTTTAGAAAACGGCGGGTCGGGTTCGGCAGGTTCGGGCAAAATTCAGGTCAAGCACCAACGGTCAGAATTTTGACCCTTTTTCGCAATTTTCGGACAGTCAGGCATTCGGCCAAATCGGGCTTGGCCGGAAAAATTCAAAAAAAAAACTCCGGCGGACGACAATTGACGGCACCTACACGGCGGCGGGCTCCGACGATGTGCCCAAATTCAGGCTGCCCGAGCCCGAACCCAAAAAATCACTTTAGACGGGCCAGCATATGGGCCTGCCCACCAGCCCAAAGTTCCACCACTAGTCATATGCTTATACACACTTTTGATAACAGCCGCAGCAAGAGGTAAGGAACGGAAAAACAAACATTAGATTACATAATTATAGATTTAAAGCTGTGGAAATGCGTTTGCAGAGAATCAAGAGAAGCTCGATCAGTTTGTTAAGAAGATTTTGAATCTGATGGTTGATCAGCAAAAGATTTGGAACGGGCTCAACTCAAATTGACAACTTTTACACATATTAGCATAGCTTTTGAATATGATTGACATTTTATTTTTTTACTTCTTTTTTATTTTCCTCAATTCTTTTCTGTTTTTTATTTTTTTTAATATCGATTGCCTTTCTGGAATAGAATGCTCGAAAATGTAATTATGTCACAAACTATAAAAACAACAACTGAGTATATCATCGTACACAACATTATGCAACTATAGGATTCATTTATTTATAATTGATGATAAACATTTACCACAAACGTTTTTTTTGGTTTTTGTGCTATTCAAAATTTTGCTCATATATATGATCGTTGGATTACTTAACAAAAGCATTGAAAAAAAAATTATAAATAGTTAATATAGATGGTATGGGCAATATAATAATTTTGTAAAACAAAATTCTATCCATCATTCTTATTCTCTTTTTAATACTCCCTTCTATCTTACCAAATAGCATGAAAGAGAGCTACTATCCTTTTCATCCTTCCAACTCTCTATTCTTTTACACTGTGTTTGGTAGAGGTGAAAAGTGAGAGGAAAGAAAATGGTGGATGGATTTTTAAAGGAAAAATAGAATTTTAAATTATTTGATAAGAGAAAAAATTAGATGGAAAAAAGGACATGTGAGTCCCACTATTTTTTCTCTCTTTGGAAGTGGAGAGATTTTTTAATGGAAAACTTGTTGTGTCATGTTTAAATAGTTAAATTACGTTTTGTCCTTATTTTAAAACTAAAATAATATCAAATAATTAGTAAGATGGTAATATAATTGAATACTCATTTTCTTTTCTCCTACCATACCAAACAAGATAAAAGGGAAACCAACTTCTTTTCTCTCATTCACATTTTCTTTTGTATATTTTCTTTCCCTCCCTTTTTCCTTCTCTCCTACCTAACAGAGCTTTAAAGCTCTCCAATATCCTTCCCCCAACCAAACAGAGTGGAAAGGAAAAGCCTTTTATTGATAAAACAGAAAACATAAGTTTTTTCAATATTGTTGTTAATTAGACATATAATTTAGTTTTGATGAGATAAGAATAACAACGATTGATGCTCAGCTTCCGTAAAAGACTGGCTCAAATTGTACTCATGTGTTAATTGTTATTATCATCGTAATTGTTGACTTAAATTCCCAAAGAAAATAGATAATTTTTTTCTTTTTGTTCTTTTTCTTTTTCTTAGACAAGGTACGAGACAGGTGGAGTGCTGTGACTAATTGAGCGTTTTATAAGTGAAAGAGTGAAAACGACAATCTTCTTCTAGATCAATTTGACATTCTTCATGAGCAATCTCAACCACCATCAACGTGCCCACGTCTCCTGGATGAAAAAACCCAAAAGACTGGTTAAACACTCTTGATTATTCAATCCAATTTTAAAGATCACCCCATTCATTCTTATTGGGTAAAACTCTCACATAAAACAAGCTATATTAAATTAAGTGAGAACCAACTTAATGAGATTCTTCATTTTATGAGTATGAGACTCCATCTCATTGAAATAAATATTGTACGCATTTGAAACTCGTTTCAAAATAATTTTTATTTTTTTTATGAAAATGAAAATAAAAACGTTTTTAATATCAGACAGAAATTATTTTTAAAAATATATTTGATAGTTTTATCAAGAAATTATTTTTAGTGTAATAAAACTCATTAATATCTCTCTTTCTCTCTCTGCTCGATAGAGGAGAAAACGAAAATAAAAAATAAAAAACGACTAAAAGTCATTTTTTATTTTTCTCTCATTTTATATTAAACTAAAAAATCGTTTTCATTTTCATTTTTTATCTTTATTGCGCCAAATGCCGTTTTAGAAACGTTTTTATTTTTTCTTTCTCGAAAAACATAAAAAATAAAAACAGAATAAATTTCAAATACAACCATCATTTTTTTATTTTACAAGTAGATTTGTCATTCGAAATAAAAAAAAAGGAAAAAAAAAATGTTTTCGATAAAAAGGCCTTATCCATCTATATCAATCTATCCAACCGTTCAATTCCCGTTTCATACTTTTTTTTTAATAAGAATTTCTAAGAGAAAGTAATCAATAATCACAACTCACAACAACAAAATATCCAAGTGCTCAAGATTTTGCTCCCTTTCAATACTTTTGAATCTTTCCTCTTTTTATTTTGGGACCTTTTTTCGGCCATTTTGTTTAGGTACATTTTAAAATTGCCATGAATTACGAAACCGACTTTGCTTTACTTTTCTTACCAAAATATTCAGCAAATATCGTCAATTTAATAAAATATGTTTTTAATTAGATGTAATTAAGTGTTAAAACTACGCATAGTGAATAAGATTTTGTTTGTTATCCAGCCAAAGATCATTAGAAATTTCCTAAAATTAAGAAAACATTAACACTAAATGTTACAATGAATTAAAAATTCCACGAATTCCATCAAAAAATTACAAATCCCGTGAATCATGAATTTGACTTTGCCTTATTTTTCTTTTTTCTATTTTCACTTTGCCTTATATTTCTTATCAAAATATTCATCAAAATTTGTTAATTTATCGTACTGTTTTAATGTAATCTAACCATTCAACACTGCATATTATCAATAAGATTTTTTTTTTCCTTGTGATCTTACCAAAATATTCTCCCTTTATTTTTCAAAGAAAAATCATTATTTTTCGATTCTGAGCCTATTTTAGCGGGAATTCCGTTACAAAGTATTTGAAAATCGAAATACACAAATGCAAAATTGCCCATAAAATTATTTTTTTTTTTTGGGGAAAAAATTGCACATAATTTTGGTGCATATAAAGAAGAAAAATTGATAGGTGAAAAAAAGAGGTAAACGGTGGGCGGGTGTCGCTATCGGCAAAAGACAAAAGGCAGTGACAACGAACAATAGTGACACAACCAAACAAAACAAAGGATGCCCATTATTTACCTTTTTTTCTCGTGTGAAATTGTTAGGAAACTTCTTGGAACCAAACCTCTAAAAAAGTAAGTCGTTTTTCTCATCCACTTCTTCTCCGCTTACTTTTCTCAAAGTATATGGGCTTCTCCGCCATTTCATTCTGCACAAATGTTGTTACATTGACCTGATTCTGCTTCTTTTGGAGGTTATATCATGATTCTTTATTTACTTTCAATCTTTTCTGTTGTAGTAAGAGATTTTTTGTTGCTTTATTTGCCTAATTGTTGATGGGTCTGCGGTTTCTTGGTTAAAGAATTTATTTTTGGATGTGGGGTTGGGCTATTTTTGTTGTTTCTGTTCTTCGGCTGCAATTTTATATGAAGTTCTATCTGGGTTTTGTATGGAATTGGATATTGTGGAATTTATTGATGGATTGTATATTCCGTATTATGAAAAAAGAACAATTTTGATGCTGTGAGAACTAAATGTTGCATTGATTTTGGCTTCCCAGTTTTGTGTTTTGGTCGTGTACTTTTTTTTTTTTTTTTTTGGGTGGGGGGCTAAATTGGAATTATCTAAATGTAGTCATTAATTGTGAATATTCTTTTATTCCCACCATTTTTTTTTTTTAGTTTCTTGGAGAATCCTACGTGATAAGTCCACCTGGTTTCCTCGACGGTATCAGATCTGGGATTGCATTTTGGATTTAAGATTTTTATGGATTTTTCTGAAGCCAAGGATGAACTTTATATAAATTCTTTAATTACTTCAAAGAAAAGCTCCGAACTTGGTAGAGTCATTCTATTTACTTCGGTCATAAAATTCATTAACTTAAATTGAATAATTACGGTTAGATGTTTAATTTGCATTCTCAGGATGTTGACTTTGTTCTTGAGGCCTCATAATTTGGCTGGTTTTCTTGGCTATCCATGGCTGAATAATATATTGAGGCACTTACAGTTTGTTGGCGTTTTTTGGATGCTGCAGAGTTTCAGTAGATTATTGAATTGATGGGTGGGGTATTCTCAAAACGGGAGAGTCCAAGACACCTTTCTTACGGGTCTAGATCATATTCTTCGGGTTATCAAAGTTATCCGCAATCGCCATATACTCAGCCAAACCAAGAGTATGGACATCACCAGTATCCTGCATATCACTCCCAAAGCTATGGGGAAGCTCGAGCACCCGAACCAAAAAGGAGGCTAGAAAGGAAGTACTCAAAAATAGGTGATGATTACAAGAGCCTTGACCAGGTAAGATGGTAGGAATACTACTGCTTTGCGTATATGTAATGTCATTGATTGAAAAGGAACTTAAATGTTTTCAATGGTAGAGCATTCTGTGGATTTTAAATGTATGATTACTCTCACTCCTATATGTATGTCTTTGATATTGGAACAGAATGGTTCAAGAATTAAACATTTCCTAACGACTTTTATATTGTGTCTATATTTTCATGGTCACATGAATTGAAGTCCTTAGCACTTTTGATACCTTTGCAAAATGAATATCTCAATTTAGTTCCTGTATAAGCATGCATACTTGGTGTTTCCTCTGTCGTGCATTATGCTTTTTCCATGTTTTCTTGACCATTTGTCGTTGTCAACGGAATTATAACTTTGTTGTTAGTAAAAGAAAAATCAGGAGGGTATAATTGATCTGTTGCATATGTCTAGTTCGTCTAGATTGTTGTTTTACTTAATGATGATTTCTATCTTCATAGGTAACTCAAGCATTGGCACGGGCTGGGTTGGAGTCTTCCAATCTTATTGTTGGTATTGACTTCACAAAGAGCAATGAGTGGACAGGTTTGGCCTCATCTAGATGCAAGGAAGTTCCTTTTTTAAGTTTCGATGATAAATATGGTTAACTTACTCTTGTATTAGGTGCGAGGTCATTCCACCGCAAAAGCTTGCATCACATTGGAGAAGAGCAAAATCCTTATGAACAAGCAATATCAATTATTGGGAAAACACTATCTTCCTTTGACGAAGATAACATGATTCCCTGTTTCGGATTTGGAGATGGTACTTCTTTTGAATGAATTTTGCAGTTACCATTTTCATTTGTCCTTTGATTCCTTTCAACATCGAAAAACGTATGTGGTCCTTTATGTTGGCAGCATCAACCCATGATCAGGAAGTTTTCAGTTTTCATCCCGATGAGAGATTCTGCAATGGATTCGAAGAAGTATTGACACGATATAGAGAATTAGTTCCTCAGCTACGACTTGCAGGTTACCATTTGACTGGCCCCTTTTACGTTTATCGGTTGGTTATTTGTTTAAAGCAGTCTCATACAGATTTGGGGATTTTTGGTTGCAGGGCCAACATCATTTGCTCCGATAATTGAAATGGCGATCACTGTTGTTGAGCAAAGTGGTGGCCAGTACCACGTACTTGTAATAATAGCTGATGGACAGGTATTCATTCTGTCTTGTATTGTGATCCTTTTTGAACAACTTTCAGAGCAAGCAGTGTTATATTACAAAGGAATATGGTCTTTTCCATTTCTGATAGTGCATCATAAAGAGGAAAAAAGTGCAATATCCAAACTTGAATTGTGATGCGATGATTATTTAAAAGTTTTCCAAGATTTTTGTGTCAACTGCCCGTATGCTTTTGAATCACCTATATCTCACCCAAAGTAACACGCCCACACACATCTTGTCATTTAACACACTACTTGTCTTTATTATTTTTTTTTTGTGTGAACAAAACCATGATCTAACATTTAAATTGCCTTTTGCCTTACTAATCTTTGATCCAAACATCTTATAGATCAACTGTCAACACCTCAGCTGAACAAACTAGCGCGCATAATAGAAAACCAAAGAAGAGGGTTTAGTAATAATGGTTTGAGGGGCTTGTTTGATATCAAAAAGAGTATATGCATAAATATAATAATAATAATAATAATAATAATGCTTGGTTTTTTCCCCCACAAAAATGCTTTCCTTTATAAGGAAAGCAGCAAGGTTCGAAGCTGTCTAAATAGTTTATTTTAGTAAACTGGCTTCTTTATAAGATGTGAAGCATGAAATATACTCAAAAGGACTGCTATAGTCCTTTCACCAAAAAAAAAAAAAAATGTTAGAGTAGGTGTTACCATTATCCAAAACTTCAAGCTACATTGACTAATACTGAAAGGTCTGTTTTTACGGCAGGTGTTACAAAGAGTGTTGTAACACTGGTGATTAATAGAAATTTTTGGATTCAGCAACAAATAGCTAAACGTGCAGAAAAATAATGCAGAAACATAAAGAACATCAGGAATTGGTATCGCAGTTCGGTGCGTACACCTACATCCGTGGGACCCACGCCCAGACAGTGAACAATCCACTAAGATAAAATGATTACAAACACCACTCGGTCTTACACACTCAAAGACTCCATCCTTGATGTTGTCGCCGCTGTGGAGAATCCTCTTAGTGGTCTTGTCAAGTGAGCACCACTCGTCTTCGAATTGCTCGGTGAACTCCTTCGACTGGCCGTGGGCTTTCTCCCAAAAGCAACAAGTCCTTCTCCTGAAGAATAATCTTCACACAAACAGCATCAAAACTCATACACAAAGCTCACTCTTTGAAAATATTTTTCTCTCAATACAAGCCACACGCTCACAGTCAACACACCTTAACCAAAAGATACGTGCAACACCATACACCGTACATAGACTTTTTCTAAGTATTTTTCACGATAATTGCATGCCAAGTGCATTGCAAAAACACACCTTAAAGAAGGCTTTTTAATATCACAAGAATCACTCAAAACAATCACCACGATTCTTTCTAAATAAATCTCCCAAGATTGCACAAAGAACCTGGATACAAAAAAGATCAAATTCGGATTACACAACCCTCACGCCTTCTTTTGAGTGCAAGACTTCCTTTTAAAACACAAATCCGAATCACACAAATAAATACCATATTCGGATTTAGCACCAATAAAATTTGAGAAATATCATGTAAATTTTAAACTGAATTTCCTTAGAAATTAAGCGGCCCATATCTTTTCTTCAAAGTCAAAATCCGGAACTTTCCAAAAGCACCATAATCTCAGGAACTTTCCAAAAGCACCATAATCTCAATCAATCACAGCCACCATGTTTCCAAAATAACTCCCACGAAACCTTATTCAGAAACAAATCAATTAAGCCACAAATATTGCAGAACTAAATCCGCCAAAACACCAAATCTACTCCTTTCCAATTAAAGTTGAGAAGACCAATTTAATCCTTTCCAAAATTGAAGTCAAACAACCTTTTCTCTTCCTCATAACTCGATCCTCAAATCTGCACCATGATCACGTAGTACTTGTTTTTGAATTTACAGACGTTGCCAAAACTTGCCAACTAGACAAAATACCTAACAATCTCCCCCTTTGACATTTTTTGGCAAAACTAACAAAACATCTAATAAACGAAAATCCTAAAACGGATAATAGAAAATTACATTGTTCTCCCCTTTTTTGACAAAAATAAGCCAAAGAAAAAAGTAAAACAAAATTAAAGAAATTCACTTTCTAGACACGTCTTCAGCAACTGATGTGGCAGATCATGTTGCAACACTTGTTGAAACACTCAGTGCAACACTTTCTTGCAGATCATCTTCAAAGTCATTGACCTCTATAGCTCACTCCTCCTAAATCTTATCTCCGTCTTAGTCCCCCTGAATGTAAAATTCTCCCATGCATATGACTTTCTTCACCTGTCAAATGTTTGGAGCAACCACTATCACTATACCCCAAGTCAGTAGTTCATGCTTTTAAAGAAGTGTGTGCCACATGACACTTTAAATCAGATTTCCTTATCCACTCTTGACGAGAAAATTTTTGTGCACATCAATCTTCATTCTAGGTGTCCTTGTGGAATTTGGTGCATTAAAAAGCAGACCTTTCCTCAAATAATTCAGGTATTTGTAGCATCAAAGTCTAATGTGTCCCAGATGGTAGCAATAATGACATGTGGGAATAAATCTTCTTCGTTGGGACCGTGAATCAAAAAAACTCTTACTGATTGGAGGCCATGATTCCTGAGGAGCTGTTTCCTTCACAAATACAGTCTTGGATGTTGAGTATTCATTCCTGAGGAGCTGTTTCCTTATGAGGCCGTGATGATCACTGCTAGCTTTTCCCGTAGACAAAATATGTTCCAGTTTAGAAGAATTGGAATTCATCGTCTTTATAGTCTTTTGAGTATGCTCCATTTCAGTCTCCAATTCCTGCAACTTCTCTTTTTCAGCAACCTGAAACTCAAAATTTATAGCAGTTCTTTTCAAGACTTCTTTTTCTCTGAGAAGTTCGCCTACACGATCCTCCAAGGACGTATTTAGTTTGCACACCTTAACCTATTTATTAAACATGTTTTGGTATGCTTCTTGAATTGCATCATCAGTCAAGTCTTCTCCGTCACTGCTGCTGTCAGATTCTGACTCAACTCATCCTTTTCGCTGTTCATAGGTGTTGTTGCAACAGTTGTTGTAATACTGTTTGCAACACCTTTTGTAACACTGTCGGCAAAAGCATCATGATCAGTACATAGATTAAAAGCAACGTAATTGCTCACATGGTCGTCATCTTACTGACTGCCTGCCTCTTCATCCTTCCAAGTTACATTAAGCGACTTCTTCTTTTTAAGAGTATTGGCGCATTCGGATTGAATGTGACCATATCCATCGCACTTTCGACATTGAATAGCTTGGTTTTTTGGCTTCGATTCAATATAATTTGCTGGAGCTTTCCGCTTCTGAAAATTGTTGAATTTTCCTGACTTTGAAAATTTATCTTTCTCATTAATCTTTTTTAGGATTTTCTCAAAATTCTTAGACGATCGAGCAAGAGATTCTGCCACGTCATCATCTTCTTCTTTAACATTATCTTCCAAATCGGCTTGAAAAGCAATCTCCTTCTCCTTCTCTTTATTTTCATTCAGATTCATCTCAAAAGTGCGTAAAGAGCTCAATAATTCGTCAAGCTTCATTGACTGCACGTTTTTTGCCTCCTCAATAGCCGTCACTTTGTAAGCGAATCTCCGAGGGAGTGATCTCAATATCTTACTCACTAGTTTTTCCTTAGAAATGTTTTCACCAAGAGCGAATGCCTCATTAGCAATGTCACACAATTTTGAATTAAAATCAGAAATTATTTCATTTTCAAGCATGCAAAGATTTTCAAACCTTGTAGTGAGGATTTGAAGCTTTGATAATCTGACGGCAGCCGTACCGTCATGAGCCGTCTGTAATATCTCCCAAATGTCCTTGGCTGATTTTCATGTTGAAATGAATTTAAATTGATTGGCATCCACCCCGTTGAAAATAGCATTCAGCGCTCTCGAGTTGTTGTTTGCCAACTTGTCCTCGTCAGTTGTCTAGGAAATTTCGGGCTTCAACGACTCTTTTCCTTCGGCATATTTGTTACTAGATGAGTCCAACCTGTCGAGTCCAACCTGTTAATATAGCTCTCTATGCCTTTTCATCGATTGCTTTGATAAATGCCTTCATGCGAGCTTTCCAATAAGAATAATTAGAACCATCGAGGAGAGGAGAGTGCAAGACCAAACCACCTTTTAAAAAATCCATTCTTGCTACACCAGACCGACTCCCAGAATCTCATGAAGCAAATGGTTAGGGAACTTCTCTGATACCAAATGAAAGATTAAGGAGACGTGTTAGGCAGATTAAGTTAGGAGATTTAGTTAGTTAGTTTCCTTATTTAGAAAAGATTAGATCTTATTTAATTGTAGTCTTACCAAAGTTAGGAGATTATAATCTAGGTTAGTTATTATTTTATTTTGACTTCCTGATTTGTAGGAATTCAGTTTCCTATTTCGATGGTCTGGTATGCCAGCCTTTAGCCTATATATTAGGATGTAAACTATTGGTTCAATTCAAGAAATAAATTCACGATTTCTTCATGGTATCAGAGCCCTAGCTCTCTCTGAACCCTAGCTCCTTTTCATGCGTTCTCTTCTCCATTCTTCTGGCTGACTCTTTTCCATGACCAAATACGGCATGGCGTTTCAGTCGACTTCCTCGGAAGTGACTACCAAAACTGAGCCCACTCCTGTGGCTTCCACCATTCCCGAATCTCCCCATCCCGTTACAAATCACAAACTGAATGGCCAAAATTTTCTGCAATGGTCTCAGTCTGTTTTTATGTTTGTCTGCGGCAGAGGCAAGGGACATCTCACTGGTGAAGCTGCTGCTCCAAAGGCTACGGATCCAAAATTTCGTTCATGGAAGATTGATGATCATCTTGTAATGTCATGGTTAATAAACTCTATGACCACTGGAGAGAACTTTCTGCTTCACAGGACAGCCAAGGAAATATGGGAGGCTACCCGTGAGACTTATTCAAGCACAGAGAATACCTCAGAACTGTTTGAGGTTGAAACACAGCTTTACAATCTGAAACAGGGAGCATGAGT